CCACCCAGCCGCCTCTGCCATCGTATAAAGATAAGTTCAAGTCTTTGTGTTTTTTTGCATAATTATTATGATCGCTCTGTCAACACCCTAAACCCTACTCTCTCTCTCTCTCTCTCTCTCTCTCTCTCTCTCTCTCTCTCTCTCTCTCTCTCCCCCCCCCCCCTTCCGTCCTTGTCACTTTTTAGCCCTATGACTCCTGATAAGACTGTGCCTTCGTCCTCGTCATTTTTTAGCGCTCGGAAAGTTTTCTGTTATTCAGCGCATATGATTGTTCAGTTTATCTTGGTCCCCCTCCCGCTCCTCCTCTCTCGCACCCTGCTCCTTTCCCCCGACAATGTACTCTCTCTCTCTCTCTCTCTCTCTCTCTCTCTCTCTCTCTCTCTCTCTCTCTCTCTCTCTCTCCCCCCGCGCAAACCATATAGGTTTTGTGTCTCAGGAAAACCCGTCGCTGTCTTTAGCTTCTGTTGACTCAATTTAGTTACTGTATTGCTGTTTACCTTACACCCTCCCCTCCTCCTCCATGTTCATGCCAATTCCTTTTTTTCCTTTTTCGTTTWCTTTTCGACAAGCGAACTGCTCCCAACCCAGCCATAGCTGCACACTTCACTATCACGGATCACTCACTATGCACAACTCCTCTGATTACTGTGGATTTTGATATTTTCCCTTCCTAACACTTGCCGGCTTGATGATGACGAGGATGATGATTTGATGATGACGATGATGATGACGACGRCGATGATTACACTCCTTACTGTACTTGTGCTTTCATTTTTCATCCTCATTACTGTTTTCTTTTTTTTCTTTTAGAGATTACTATAAATTATTATTTCGCCGAGCCAAGTCTTGATTATAGTCAGTGAACTCCTTTTGAATCTTCCAACAAAATACAAAGAAGGAACCTTTGGACTTCGTCTCGCATTTACGACGCAGGGCTCGCGGAAAACTGCTGGCACCTTCATTACTTCTCGCTCTCTCACGCTTCTTCTTTTTTTTTTTTTTAATTACACTCTCTCACGTTTCCTCGCCGTCAGGGCTTGGAGAAGTTGGAGAGGGGGGATGCGTGAAACAGTAAGAAGGACACAACTACAGGCACAACCCCACCACTCTTCTCTTCTCTGAGTTCTCTCCTCTGATCTTCTTCTCCCTCTTCCTTGAACAGAAAAAGAAAACAAACAAACAAAACAAAAAGGTAAAAGTCATAAAACCTCSCCGCGACGAAACCTTTGTATCCATTTTCCCCCAAACGGGGMAAAAGGTGCGGCAGGCCCCAAAATCATTTTCGCAACCCTGCAAAACACTTTCCCCGCGACGAAACCTCGTTATCGATTTCCCCCCATACGGGAAAAGAAGTGCCGCAGGTTCCAAAATCATTCTTGGTCCTTCGGGACATCCGTTAAGATTGGAACGATACAGAAAAGGGTAGGATGGCCCCTGCGCAAGGATGACACGCATAAATCGAGAAATGGTCCAAACCACTTTTRRTGTCATTTTTGCGCCCTGGTTGGGGGGGTAACGGCCGCTGTGTTAAAATGGCGGGAAAGTGTTTTGCAGGGTGCAAAAATGACACCCAAAGTGATTTTGGGGCCTGCGGCMCMGTTTTCCCCGTTTKGGGGGAAATGGATACAAATGGTTYCGAAGCGGGGAGGTTTTATGACTTCTCCCCAAAAAAAACGAAGAGAGAGCAAGCTATCTATTGCCATTGACAAAGCGATCTATTGAAACCGCTTTCTTCCGTTTCACTACATCTACGCGGACACACTTGAAATCAAAGAAAAACGAAATATATTTTAACTCGCCGGTACGACACACTCTGACCGTGACATCGAGACTAGGTCGGAGGGAGGGAG